CTCATAAAAAACTTAGGCAACCCTCCTCCTGTCAAATGATCCTGTCTGTATGTGTTGTTGTTAGTCCATGGGCTTTGTGCGGAAATAGTGTCTGGAGAGAGAAGCTGGTGAATGGGATCCACCACAGAGCTGGCTCTGTGCCCACTCCAGGCTTACAAATCTGCCTGTGAAGTTACTGTTCCCAGGAACAAGGAAAAGGCAGAGCGACAGAAGGAGGTGGAGAAGTGCGCACAGCAAAGCTAACAGTAGCACTTGAGAGTAATGTAGTATATCCAAGCAGAGGATTGCAAACACTTTACACTTAGACTGTGTAATTTTATGAATTCATAACATTTTACTGTATAGTATAAAGTGCCAACTTGTGTCTGGCAAACATGCCCATAAAAGAACCAACAATACCACTGGGTTCTTACTTCTTAGAGCTTACTTCTTAGATCAAACTTGAAAATTACACTGTCTGTGCCCAGGGGTTGTTAAGTCGATTAATCTGTCAATGGAGTCTTAGTAAACCAACAATTTTAGCAGCTGATCATTGTTTATTGTATTGCATTACAAAGGTTCATGTAGACCAAAGCAGAAAGAAGAAGTCATAGACTGAGTTATGTTGAGATTTGGGAGTGATTAATTAATTAAAATTTATTGCAAAAACATTTTCATTGCAGCCTATAATTAAAACATTATAGGCTGAGTGGTGAGCACTTTCACCTCACAGCAAAAAGGTTTGATTCCTAGGCCGCTAACTTCTTTCTGTGTGAAGTTTGCATAATTTTTCCCTGTATCTGGGTGGGTATCTTCCAGGCACTTCAGTTTTCCCCCTTAACCCATAACACACACACACACGCGCACACACGCACACACACACACACACACACACACACACACACACACACACACACACACACACACACACACACACACACACACACACACACACACACACACACACACACACACACACACAAAAACTCCTGCTAAGGTAGTCCAGACCTATTTTGTGGCACCCACTGCTCCCCAAGAGATGTAGCACCCGCTACTCTGTACATCTTACGTAGTAGTACATCCTACTTACAATGACTAATCGATGCACAGAGCTCAACTTTAGCTGATCAAGAATTTCTTTAGTCCATTACACCCCCTTTGTGCTGTGCCTTTGAGGACATGGAAACAAAAAAATCACATATGGAATCTCTATAGGCTCAACTTGCATTTTTCTATGTACCTGTAGATCAGTTCATGGTGGTCACTGTTTGCCTAAAGCTTAAATGTTATATTTTGGTATATTACATAACAGGGTTTTGATGACAAAGTATTTTCTCTTAAAGTGCTTTGATGTGTTGACAGAAATGTATGGACTTTATAGGAGTCAAATATAGGATGTTTATGTTGACAGATGAAAGAGCCAGAGCAGAAATGTGATTTTGATGTTGATGAGCTGATATATTTCTTGGCAATCAGTGCAGTAAAGGAAGCCAAAGAGGGCTGTGGTGGGCAGTGTACACAAGACCGTGTCATGTAAACAGCTCATAGGGAAGCTGCCTTTTGCACATGAAGGCTTGTGTGTGAGGGAAAAGTAAATTTAGTTTTTAGAGTCAGAGGAGCGGGACTCTCGAGGGAATGCTGCCCTGAGAAGCTAAACACTCCACTTAACAAGGTGTGACCTGGGCCATACCTGTGGTCTCAGTGAGTCCACAAAAAGGTCAGTTAATGCTACTGTATGCAACAGTTTCAGAGTTCATTTGCATCAATTAAAGTTGGTTTGACACGCTTTATTATTATTGAATATATTATGTCATGCTTACTTGACCTATAAGCCTCTACTTGACCCTTTGGCAAATTGCCAAACAACTTCCCAGATTTTATATTTCCTTTATAATCCTTCCAAGAATATGACTTTCTTACAGGGATTTAGAAGAAGAAAATACGGACGCTTGAACGTTAAATCAATTTGTGTCCAACTAATAGTGTTTGTGGGGTTGCCAAGTGTCAGTTTGAAGTAGAAACAGCACTCCATGTCCTCGGTCTTGATACTATGGGTTATTGGTCTTAAACACTCTTGCCCTGTCTTGTATAATTTTATACAATATTTGCATTGGAATTATTTAGGTGCTAATTTTTGCTTGAAGGCAGTTTTTCTCATTGTATCCAGGAACGTATTGCTCTAAAGAGGATTCACAGGCATTGGTTGAACTGTTTGTATCTTTACTTCTATTAGTATGAGTGAGTTTGTACAAAGCAGTACCAAGCATGTTTTCTCTGTAAAATTCACTCTAAAACTAGCTAGCAGCTAGTCTCAGTTGCTCTTATCATCAAAAATGGGATGCACAATAAATGTCTGCTTTAGTTTGATTTTAGTTCCTTTAATTGTGGAACACTCAAGCTTGTTACACATTAGACAGAGCAGTTCTCAATCTCAGATCTTGGTACTACTTTCTGGATGGAAAAAAAAAAAAGTTTAGAAAATTTTGTCAAATTTAGGTGATAAATGTGTATCCACATACACAAAAGAGTGGCAGAAAGACAGTTTGTCAAAGTGAGGGTTGCCATGACATAACCAGACTAAGGTTAATGAAGTGAGCCTCGGTGTGCAGTGACTGATGGACATTTTGTGTCCTCTGGCTCAGTCTGTGAGTTTCATTATGAGTTGACGACAGACAAAGTGCTCTCTTTATTTGGACATCAGCCTGTGGTATGTACATGAAATATGAATGTGACTACAGTCCATCACATTGACATCTCCTTTTCAAAGTCAAGGGCGTGGTGCTGGAATTAATGCTCTTCCCTTTGCCTCAGGTTCAGCTGTTTTAGGCCTTGTATGTACCTGTGCCTATCTGAAATATCTATTTTATGTAACCATCTAATGTGTGATCTATCATCAGCTCCTTTAAGTTACTCTTAAATGATGTGTTGCTGTTGTATCTAAATCTTCTACACACAAACAATAATGTTATAGTGTAATATTTACTTTATTAAAGGGGAATTATGTAACTTTTATAGTGGAGAGTCCACAACCTCTTTGTCTTGTCATTGCTTTGCCAGGAAAGTAAACTTAGTTATTTCTATGGAGATGCAGGTGATGCTACCAGGCCAAATTACTCTTTATCTTTAAAGAGGTGAAGCTGCTTACTGAATATGGTTAAATGCAAGATAGATAAGTTTAATGCCATGTAACATTCCAGATAAGGCAATAGCATCTCCTTGGAGACAACTATTTGCCATATGGAACAACACATCTTACAACCTTAGTTTAACTTTGCATCTTCACATAACACAACCAGGAAGGTTTTATGTCTTGTGAAAAGACATGACCATACACACACACATACATACACACACAATAAAAACAATATTGTTTAAAGAAAGAACTTCTGAATGAACCTGCACTGCACTCCATGTGAGGCCAGTGTAATGGCATCCAGCTGGAGCCATTTGCAGAATGTACAAACACGAGCCATTTGCCTTCCCACCTTTCACTCTCAAGATTGGGGCTATTGAAGAGCTCTGTGCTGCTCAGTGTGTGTGGTCTCTATAGACACTAGAAACACTATACCTGTGTGTGTGTGCTGGGCAAATATATTTGACTAAATGATTGGAAGCCATGACTTGACACAAAAACGCAAGCAACAGAATGGTAACTATTGTCTTTTTGTTTGTCTCCTGTGTCATAAAATAATGTTAGCACTGTTGTTCTAGCAGTGTTTGCCTAAACATTCATATATTCTTGTGACCATTTCTATGAAGTCCTGACAGTTCTTTGCTCTTTTGCTGACTGATCCTCGGCAAATAAGACATTTACTTACCAAATGGTGTTTGCACTATAGCCAATCATAAATGTAAATATTGTTTGTATTTATCAGACAAAACTTAAAGGCACTGTATCTCCTTTTTGTTTCTATGCTGTGTGGTGTAAATGCAGTAAAACAAACAAACAAAAAAAATCCTGACTGAGAAGGATAGTAAGTAATAGCCATGTGTCGTGGACAGTTTTCTTCTTTTAGGCATATTATTGGATGAGAACCATGTGGAATCAGCTACCTGGGAATATCCCAGACAGTTGATCAATCATGCAGCAATGTTGTGAGAGAAGAAGTGTTCTTAAAAATTTGATAACAGCTATACACACAGTGACTACTCAGCAACTACAGATTGCTTCTGCGTTGCATATATGTTTGATGTAAACAGGCGGCATGGTGGCCGAGTGGCTAGCCCCCCGGGTTACTTGGACATTTCTGTGTGGTTTTGCATGTTCTCCCCGAGTCTGGATGGGTTTTCTCTGGGCAGTCTGGTTTCCCCCATCAACCTAAAACCTGCTACATAGGTCTCCAGGAAGAATAGCTGATTAAATACAATTATGTATTTGTGGTAGTTGTGTAATTATGTAGCAAATACATCTAACTACATTTAGTTGCCTTTGGCAATACAAGACTCTGCTGTGTCTATAGACATAAGAGTGTCTTGGCCACAGCTGTGTCCTGCAAAGCTCCCGGTGTGCTTCTGGCTTTAGGAGCAACTGTTTGTCCTGGTGGTTTTGGTTTGTGGAGATGCGGTTGTAGGTCACAAACCCACATCATATTGTGCTGTGACCTAGTGTACTGCTGCGGTGACCAGGGTATAGCCCAGACCAATGGCCTGAAAGTGTGCTAATTGTATGGTTGTGGCCAAAGGCAAGCAGTGATAGGTTTAGCATGTAAAGAGATGGATGGAAGGGTTGGCTTTGCACTGCTGTAACCCATGATCATGGCAGATCTATAAATGGGTATGTCTCTGTTTAGTGCTTAAATGGATAACAAAATCTTCCCACGACCACAACAGTCAAGTGTCCCTCTTAGTGACTGTACAGTTTCTGAGTCAGCTCAAGTTTAAAAACCAAAGTCAGGAATTTACATAATGAAAGCTTGTTAAACCATACATTCCTGCTCTGTCAGTGTTTGTCACATCCTAATGCATGATCCCACAGCTGTAAAACAAATGCTAAAAATGCTCTTTGTTGTGTTTTCTTGCAGTGGAACCAGTAGACCTCTTGAAGATTTTAGATTTTCACAATTTACCGGACGGTGTTACGAAAACAACGGGATTTTGCACACATCGGCGGTCAACACAAGGACCTGATGAAGCTTACCGAGTAGCCAAGGATGCCCAGCTCTCTGCGCCCACCAGACAGCTCTATACAGGTGAGTTGCATGCTACAGCAGCTTCATTTCACTACATCAGAAATGCTCAGAGGCCCCTTTGCTCTGACATATCCTCAAGTCTGCCGGGGAAATCCCAAAATGTTCCTAGACCAGCTGGGAGACATACTTCCTGCTTTTCCTACTCATTTGTTAGTGCCTTTTAAATCTTTTTTTCTATAAAGGATAATTTTGCCTTTTATATTCCCCCTTTTCTCAGCTAACTTTAGTTGTAATTATCTCAACATAAATAAAACAACTACACCACAAATGTATATATACACCACATTTCTTGTTAACAGCCAGATAAGATTAAAAGAGCCCCATTAAACTGAATGGAAAAGCAGTGAAAACAGAGGTGGGGTGAAGGGATGTCTGGATTTCCACTTCTGCCTTGTTCTATTGTGCTGACGTGGCTTTGGGTTACTGCTCCTCTCCTCCCTCCTTCTTCTTCTCTTTTCGTTATTTTCCCTCACAATTTTCTCTCATTCTCATCCGCCATTGCTACTGGTCTCTTGAAATAACCTCTGTTTAGCATCTAGACTCAAAGTAATGGCTTGTTATTTTTCCTTTAGCTCAGTGTTTCCCAACCAGGGCTATGGGAGCATTTAGCAGGGGATACTTAGTTGCTTTCAGATTTTTAGAAGAAGGTGAACTTTAATACAAAAGTACATCCTCAAGAATGTTTTGGAGGAGTTTGGCCATTAGAGTGAATAAAACATGAAATTGTACTTGATTACTACTAGGGGTGGGATGAGACATAATTTCCAGATAGAGACACAAGATGAGGTCCACAAGAATGAGATAAGATGAGATTTTGAAATTATTTATAATAAAATAATTGTGGCAAATATGGCGCTTGCAGTTTTGGCTTAACATTTTCTAATTTTATATTTTTGTTATAGACGTAAAATAAAAGGGAAAAAAAATCTCACAAGATCATGTTTGCATAGTCTTGTGTTTATCTCACGTAATCTTGTGGCACGAGATCTTGTCCCATCCCTAATTACTACTCTTCAACATATATATTTGCTCAGTATATGAGTTACGGGGTCTTCAAGTGTGAGAGACAAAGCTTAGGGGGGTACTTGAGACAAAAAAGTTGTGGTAGCACTGCTCTAGTTGACAGATAGCACTGGTGCTGCTAGGACTCAGACAGGAAGAGGACTAGCTATTCTTTCCTCTTAAGACTTCTCAAAGCTTGTATTGGATGGTGGCCCCAGACGTTTTCACAGATGTATCTTTGGCCTGACTGGACCTTTGATGCGTGTCATGGCTCAGCTTTGGGGCTTTAGGTTAGAGCCTGCAGAGATGGCGTGTTTTGTCATGCTCTTCAATCAAACAAACTGAGTTCTCTTTGAAGCCCGGTGACACCACAGTCCATATGAGTCGGAGAGATAAATATGCTGTAATTACACTTCTGTGGATCCTACAAAATAATAGTCTGCAATGCTTAAAACAAACTTGAGAGAGTACATTACAGGCCTCAGTGGTCGTCCAATCTTAAAAAAGCAACTTTTCTGGAGTTACTGTAAAGAGAAAAAAAGATTGCTAGTTAGTAAAATATAGATGTAATTATGTAAATAAATTTGCACCAAAACACCAGATTTCGCAATACTTTGACAATGGCCTGGAAATGGCGTTAAACATGTAATTGTGATCTAATTCTTGTGACAATCTGCTATTTTGGTCAAATCACCATATTGTGATTGCTAATTTTATCTTAAATACAACTCTATACTCCATTTCTTGCCCACACCTGCTATATTTGTCAGTCTCAGCTCTGCCCTGAGTGAGTGACAGGTATAATTAACAAATTACAATGAAGTGTCAACATTGAGAAGAACCAGATGACTTTAGTTACCTTTTCAAGGCAAGAACCTAAGCTCTAAGATCTAGCTCCAAAAAAATCTGGCTATTAATTCTTTGGCATATCTTATATATTTTGTCTATACACAGTCATAGGAATATTAGCCCATAATAGGTAACAAAGAAAGTATGTAAAAAGTTTGGATGGTGTTTTTGAACAGAGCACACAGAAGGACATTGTCCTTATTCATGTTCACACAAATACTGTACACTATTGAGATAATGTAACTGCAGTTCTCTTGCTTCATCTGTATACTTAGACTTACTTAAATTACAGTAATATATTCCAGAAGACAATTGAATCTATGAAATCATTTTACCCATTCCCATTAAACCCATGTTTTCTACTAAATTATGACTTTGGCCCAGAGCCTAGAGGTACTGTTTTTCTCAGTTATCAAAGTCATAGTTTAAGTGAAAAGTAAAAGTTTGTGAATACACAGAGGAAAGTGTGTACCGTGTAAACAAGCTTCTTTTTTCCTATTCGTTAAGTATTAGCAGTAGCTCTGATGCAGAATTAAAGTGGCCCATGACCCTAAACCAGTCTGAAATGATGTGTTGGAAAAGTGCAAGAGCAGACATGCAATCATTATGCAAACACGTGGAAGAGATGATTCATTTCAATATACTAAGGATTGGAAACACAGGGAATCTTTCTTAGTATTTCTTAGTGTGGAAAAAGAACAGGCACTTCTATGCTGTACAAGTGAAAACAGAAAGTACTAAGTTTATGTTGGCACATGTTCAGATGCTCTCGTGGAGCACTACAGTCAATCATCTGCAGGCATCCCAATCTCCAGTGATATCTGACTGGGTACCTTTTGTTTGTCCTACCCTATGAGCCCAGCCACTGCTGAAAATGGACCCAGTTACAGTTTTATTACTCTTAATGAGCAACTACACTAGAGATACCAGCCTCAGCAAGTAGAAACATAGAATAATGCTTTTAGTGTGGGTGTTTTGTTTGAATATGGTTTTACTTAAATCAGATTAGATTATCAGTTTATCAAACCAAGAAGTAAAGGTCTCCAGTTCTTCCCTAGAAACAATCATGCATTAACAATGTAACCCAGGTGCATCACTTTTCCTCAAATTCTGAAACCTACTCTTTATGTTGTATCCACAAACATGTTTATTATGTTGCCTAAGTCCATTGGAATGCTATTTAACAAAAAAAGAACAATACATGACAGCAGTGACTGAGTTGCCTTTTATTATTGTGAACACATTTTTTTATGGTCCATTTACCAACCAGAGTGATAGCTGAGAGGTTCTGTCACAGCGCTGGCATTACTGCGTCTGACTCTGTAACCAATTATATTTTTTTTAGAATAAATTAAGCATTTAGGTAGACCTCAAGAATATGACCCTCCAAAATGTGATGTATTTTCAAGCAATTTGGGTTATTGGTAGTCTTGTAAACTCTGGGTCTTTTGGCATCACTGACCCTGCATTCCCACTGTGTTCCCTCACATAGAGGAGGAATGAGCTATCTGTCATCTGGTGGCCTAGAGCACAGGTTGGAGAAACACATTCCTGAGAAACCTGAGCCTGGTAGAGTGACCCCCCACTGCCCTCCTCCAGGACCCCATGAGCCCTACAGCAGCACGAACGCACAACGGAGATGTTTATTCTTTTTTCATATCTGTAGCTCATTGTCTCTACCTCAGTACAGTATGCCTTACAAGAGCATATATTCCATTCTTCCAGGAATATCCAAATGTAGTTTTAATGAGCGTGATTTATATTAACAAATCTTTAGACCAGAAATTTTGAAAATCAAGCAATTGAACTTTAGAGTCAAAAGATAGGAGATGAACAAGAAACAAGCAGATGGATAATTGCCCCAGGGCATTTAAGATTATTCTTATTTTTAATTTTACTCTTGCAATGTGATCACTGAAATAGAAAAGTTAAATATAGAGTAAAAAAGAAGACTGCAGCTTCTGCGACTCTGGAATGGTTTAGTACTTGAGCCCCTCTGCTTTGTCCAACCTCAGGTTTCCATACCGCATTCCCTCAGAGGCAGCTCATCCTCCTCGGCCTCTGATTGGCTGTTCAGACGGACTTGTGCCAATGTTACATTTTCCAGACCGCGGTATAGCAGGAGTCTGATGGCTGCATGAGGTGCTACAAAACCACGGCAACCACAAATCTGGACTCTTTCTTCACAGTTCTGGAACTTTCTCTTGTCAGCCGAAATACTATATTCTTAAGATTAAAAATGAAAAACCAATCAATCTGTCTCCTTTGTTTAGATAAAAAGATATACACAGTCTCTCTTGCATGGCTCTATATTGTTTGAGAAAAAAAACCCCAAAACATCTGCTTATTATATATATATATATATATATATATATATATATATATATATATATATATATATATATATATATATATATATATATATATATATATATAAATGTGTTTCTCACCTTCCACGGTGGTAGGTCTCTCTCACCCTCATTGAGCTCGGGTCCTCTACCAGAGGCCTGGGAGCTTGAGAGTTCTGCGCAGTATCTTTGCTGTTCCCAGTACTGCACTTTTCTGGACTGAGATGTCCATTGTTTTTCCCGGTATCTGTTGTAGCCACTCTTCCAGTTTGGGGGTTACAGCCCCGAGTGCTCCGATCACCACAGGCACCACTGATGCCTTTACTTTCCAGGCTCTCTCCAGCTCTTCCTTGAGCCCCTGGTATTTCTCTAGCTTCTCGTGTTCCTTTTTCCTGATATTACCATCGCTTGGTATTGCGATGTCAACCACCACGGCTCTGCTCTGTTTCTTATCCACCACCACTATGTCTGGTTGGTTCGCCATCACCATTCTGTCAGTCTGTATCTGGAAGTCCCACAGGATCTTGGCTCGGTCATTCTCCACAACCTTTGGAGGTGTTTCCCACCTTGATCCTGGGGTTTCCAGCCCGTACTCTGCACAGATGTTTCTGTACACTATGCCCGCCACTTGGTTATGTCGCTCCATGTATGCTTTCCCTGCCAGCATCTTACACCCTGCAGTTATGTGCTGGACTGTCTCAGGAGCCTCTTTGCACAGTCTACACCGTGGGTCTTGTCTGGTGTGGTAGATCTGGGCCTCTATTGCTCGAGTGCCCAGGGCCTGCTCCTGAGCAGCCAGGATCAGTGCCTCTGTGCTGTCCTTCAGACCAGCCCTCTCAAGCCATTGGTAGGATTTCTTGATATCAGCCACTTCAGTTATGTTCCGGTGGTACGCCCCATGTAGGGGTTTGTCCTGCCATGATGGTCCCTCCAGCACCTCTTCTGCTGGCCAAAGGAGGAGATACAGACCACAGATGTTAAGACATATATATATATATATATATATATATATATATATATATATATATATATATATATATATATATATATATATATATATATATATATATATATATATATATATATATATACATACATATACATACATACATACATACATACATATACATATTGGAGTGATGGAATTTTGACACTTCACTTTTAAATACCTTTCTTTTTATGTCTGTGGCCATCCTTAATTTTATCATTTGTCATTCATTCTTCAATCTTTGTGTTCAGGTGATGCGTTCCCAGAAGACTTTTCCATCTTGGCCACAGTGAAGCCCAAGAGGGGTAGCCAGTCTTTCCTATTGTCCGTGTACAATGAACAGGGCATCCAGCAGCTGGGACTGGAGGTTGGCCGCTCCCCTGTATTCCTCTATGAGGACCAAACAGGCAAACCCAGCCCTGAGGACTACCCACTCTTCAGAGGAGTCAACCTCGCCGATGGAAAGTAAGTTCTTTAAGTCATTTAAGTGATTACGTGATTTAGGGATCAGCTATCAATCTGTCATCACATTTATTCACTGTTATGTTATTAAATGTCTCCCATTACATGTACTCAGTACCTATTAGCCCTTTGGCACATCCCCACTGGACTGATAGTGCTGACACTAATAGGTAAAATCAGAAGAATTAAAGACTAAATGGACTTACTTTACCAGTCGTGTCTCTAAATCACAATCAAGTTATTTTTGTCTGTACACTGAACAACAATTGTAGTTGAGTTGTACAACCACACACAAGAAAAACATATTTGCTATTGTTGCTTTGTGTGTACTGTAGTGTATAGTGCAATACCCATTTGCAATACAGTATACTCTATATATACTATACTCTAATACTCTATAAAATGTCTATCAAATACAAATCCTGAGTGCAGTGTATGCTAATGCTAGTTAACATGGTATCTTTTTCAGGTGGCATCGGGTGGCCATCAGTGTGCACAAACAGAGCATCACTCTCATTTTGGACTGTAAAAAGAAGACCACACAGAAACTGCTCCGAAGCCCCAACCCTGTTATTGACACCAGAGGAATTATTGTGTTTGGAACTAGGATACTTGACGAAGAGGTTTTTGAGGTAGGCATCTCTCATAATTACAAGTATTCATCAGCACAGATTTACATTATTGCATCTGTATTAAAATGATGATAGTTAACACAGCATGGCTCATTTCTGTAGACTTTTGTTCTGTAATTTTGCTGCCTGTAGCGTTGTTTAATGGGACGTTTCCTGTTGAGTCTTGGGTCTGAGGCAATGGGAGAAAATGGACAAAGACACCATTGAATAATAAGATTGGCTTGTGTTTTAACGTTATTATTTATGTGTGTATAAAGATTGTAACATTTGTTGAAATCAGATCAAATGAGGAGATAGTGCTGGAGGTCTTGCAGGCATTTTGAGAAATTCTCATCAAAGATTAGATCAGAACTCAAAATTCCAGACGTACAGTCACACCTATTAATAAATCTGACTACCCACTGTCTCTTATGTTTTGTTACACCTCATTGTGGCTTCAAAAGAGTTATAATCTTTTCATCAATAGTGTGGTTTTCTTAAAAAAGCTCCTCCAATCACATTGTGTTTATATATTTTTGCAACAAGTTTTGACAAGTTTTTTATAGTTATTGAAGAAAGGGCTTTCCCGTAGTTTTATCTGAATCATTGCTGAGGAAGATTTATGTTGAAATGCCAGAATGCTCTAATACCAGCTGATGCCTCATGTAAACACAAGAATAATGTATGCTGATCCTGGGACGGGAGCCGTCTATTGTGAACTGAGAGGTGCATGCATTTGTGTGTGTGTTATATTTGTGTGTGTGTATATGAACCATCTGAGGCAAACGCATATGTGTGCACAAAGAAGCACAAGAAATCGTATTGTCTTTGTGCTGCTTGTTTAAAGAGGGATTAGTCTATGAGTATGGAGCACTCAATAATAATTAGTAACAGAGGCTGACTGATGTGAGTGATGCTGAGCCAGCTGACCCCTCTCCTCTGCACTGCTAAACTCCAGCACACAGAAAGAATGTGATATGACATCACCAGCCCCAAGCACTTCTCAGAGCCCACAGCAGATCTCTATATGTGATGGAACGTAAAATGGCACTTTTTACTGAGATCCTAAAACACTGTAATGGTCATTGGACCAACAGTCTGCCATAAATCGGGCTATTTTGGCTATGGTCAAACAGAACTATAAGTATTCTTGATTCTGCTTGGAAATTAGCATTTTACTAATAAATAAATAAAGCTTTTATGCTCTTTCCATTAGTCTGGAAACTACTGGAATTACGCTTTGTCGTGCCTTATGTGTAATTCCAGGTTCTGCTCTCCCCACTACTGTTATACATTATCTAGGGTATTGTTTTATGCATTTATGTGAAAGTATACTTGCAATATCATATTAAATTAACAATTGACAATTTGTGTATACGTCACACTACTAGTTACCATGGGAACAGACTGATATTTTGTGACGGGTGTTTTAAGGGCTCCTACTGTGTCTGCCAGGTGGGAGGCATGGCTGACTCCAAAGAGTGAGCCAAATGGAAAATATGTTGCGTTGTTTTCAAATTGAGGTCCCCCCTTTCTCCTTTTTACTCCCTTCTCCAAAGTTTTCCTTGCTAACGATGACTATGTATGACACAAAGAGTGTTTGTGCGTACAGTAGCCATGGGCCTGATGGTGCCTATGGACTGAAGTGGTTTGTGGTTTGGTTACTGTGGCCACAGAGCTGTCTGACTCTACCTTTGTGCCTTTTCCCGGTATCAAGTATAAGAATTCTCCTGCCAGTTAAGACATAGAGTGTAATTATGGTGAGGATGATTTAAGAAGAAAACTATTTCACCTGGTAATGATGTGTTCCAAATGCAGTAATTACAGCGTTATAATGACTGTCATACACCTTTAAATATCACCCATGAGAGGCTATTACCTCGTCATTATAACAGCAGCTAATGACTTTATACTTATTAAGCTTGAGCGTAAATTGAGCATATTTGTCAAGCAAACACAGCTTCAAACTGTGCTTAATTATGTGTTATAAGAAATTAGTCTGATATGCCAGATTGCAGAGTTGTAAAATGTATAATAGTATATAAGTATAATAAAAGTATGTGTGGTGTGTTTAAGCAAGAGTACACATGTCTACATACAGTGCCACTTTGTACTACATATGGTACTACTTTGGTTTTTGTTGCAAAACACTATTAAAAGCACTGTCACAGATATTGATTAATTCATTAATATTTAATATTATTTTATACCTTAATGTGCTTAAGTAACATGTTGCTTAAGTAACATCTTTTAATTTTGCTAAATGATGTTTAAGTGAAGTGGAGATGGTCCAAAAAATAGTACAAATGATCATGTTGTATGAAAAATGGGAAGGAGATATAGAGTCATCAGTTTGGATCAAACCCTGGAAACAATGATAACACTCTGTTTGTGCTCATGACCTCATCCTGAGGTTTGTGGTTTCCACTGATCCGGCTGTCTGTCCATGTCATGTGTGTGATTGTTTATAATGGGTTAGTAAAACTTTGTGAAAATAGACTGTACAGCCAAGACACTAGTGTTCATTTATTAGAGGATAGGAAAACAAGGCCACGGAGAAGGCAGCACATGAACTTGGGCTTGTTAAGAGCTTTATTAGACTGATGACTTTTACACATTCTAGTGCCTTCAGTCTGGGTCACTACCCTTTGGAGATCAGAGGGATCAGTCATGAGGAACAGAGGTGCATCTGAAGGATCTCATTTGCACTCTCACCCAAACCTCCATGTAGTGTTTGCATTTTAGCCTTAGACTTAGACAAACTTGATTGATTCACAAGGGAAATTATTTGGACACAGTAGCCATTTTATAGACAAGATTTGTGGTAATGCTATGTTGTGTGACATAATATAATACTAATTTAGATTGTTGAACACCTAATGCATTTTAAAGTACAAAGCTTGTAAAATGTTTGCTTCCAAAACTGTGGTTTGTACCTTTCTACTGGTTAGAGATTAATGCAGAGCGGGTTAGGGTAGTTATCTGGTTATAGTAATGGTTATAGGTTTTCACAGATAAGTTTCTGTTTACCATATAATGAATGTATTTCTTGAAATTGTAGCCTAATAAATTGCCTTGTATTGTTATATGTTGGTACACATACACATGGAGATGGTTTACTCAGTGAGACACAGATGCTAGGAGAGTTATAATTGAAGACAACTCTTTAAGATGGCTATTAAAAGCCCTTTTTGGAGGTGTTTTTACTGAAACACTGGTAGAAACTACATACAAAATCACAAAAATAAAGCAATTGTCCAAATGTGCCAACAGACTTCTCTTAATAGTGTACATTAGGCAGCAGGATTCCCAGCCCCCCGAGTTGTTCAAATTTCCACTGCGGATAATGAACAGAAATTCTCTAACTCGTGTCAGATGTTTGTCTTTCACTCACTTTTCTTCTGTTATTTCTTCACCGTGTCAGCACGTCGAAGTGTGCCCTCAGCAGTTTTCTTATGTAGATTTCTGCTAACAGCCAACTCAAACAGTCCTTTTCTTTGCTTTTAGGCTCGGCAAGATGTTCAAATTTCCACAGATGCAAAAGAAAATGCAGTAGGTAGATGAAAATGCTGTGCTGTGTCGAGTTAAATAGTCAGAAAAGATGCTGTCTTGATGCTGAGTTTTGATGGAGAAGCATATGGTCGAGGGGAAATGGAGGGATGAGAGATTTGTTTCAGAGGCTTGAGTTGGATAAGTTTGGGTACTTTGTGTGGCAGACAGGTCTGTTGCTCTTGGAAAGCTTGGACCGTTGGAATCAAGCTACAGTCTGGATGAGTAGGTTGATGCTGTCTGTATTTCTGAGTTGAAAGTTTTGTTTGAAATTGAATGAAGGTTAAGTTTCTCAGTGTCAAAATGGTAAAAATATTATGCTGTTTCTATTTCAAAAGGAGACTGAATCCCTTGACTCACTGAAATAGTTGATCTTTCCTTTCTAAATACAACAAAACAAAAAAGGAAACAATGCATGACTGTAAAAACAATAATTTGTACAAAAAACATGGAATTGGTTAGCTGAGTTTTAAACAAGATCAAGATTCAGTCATCTCTAATCGCCAAAGATCATTTTGTTCTTTTTAATCGAGAGGTCTGCATCTGAAAAGCATGTGGTTTGGAGCAGAGTTCAGACTTTTGAGGAATGCTTTTTTGTTGTAAATGGAAATGATTAAGGATTGGGTTTGTCTGTCTTGTTTATGATTAGAAAATTAACATTGGAAGACATTTTATGTGTTTTAATAAGAAAATTGTGACTGTTCAATATGAGAAAAAGTATCTTGAGTATTTTTTTTGTCATATGGCCCAGCCCCATACCGGCAGCCTAGGCAGGTGTTGACTGTTGTCCGTCCTGATTTATGTCCCCACTGCAGCTCACTGACCTGTGCTCCATGTTGTTTGGTTTGTGCGGTCATGTTGGAAAGAGCCCAGGTGGTGGTGGGACTGTGAATGTGCTGGTGTGGTGTGCTCTGGCAGTGGGAAAAAAGGCTGGCTCCAAGCTCACGGCTGACTGTGTAAATATGTCATGGAAGTAGTTCTCCTTAAGCACAGCCAGACCTCCCACAAACCAACTCTGCTCCGGAGGGGTTGTCCTACCCACATTCTCTATTAGCACACAGGAAATGATAAATAATAGCTGACTGCTTTCTGGCTATTGTGCAGAGGTGCCACTGTCTTATGTCTTTTTGTTTGTTTGTTTGTTTGTTTACTCACTTCATGTCTTCAGTACTTAAACATGTGGGATATAGAATTCAATAAAATACATTAACAGTAATGTGTCAGGCATTTTGAGGCCTGTGCTTTTCAATAGAGGGAACACAATGAGCTCAGTCTCTCTTTTATGATTGTGGGTCAGACACAGATGCCGCCAGATGTTTGGCTTCAGCCCCTCTAGAGCTCTCCTATGCCCCCATCTGGTCACAACATGTATCACATATATGCACTTGGGTATTGCAAGTGCTGGAATCATGAGCCACTGTAATCATACCACTGACAACACAATGTATATGAGAATCTACTGCTATTACTATTACACTCAATAAAACTACTATACACCCTATATAAGAAGCCAGCATGAACCCTCTATTACTCTGCTGGGGAACCTGCAAAACTAGTCATTGCTTGAATAAAGTACAACCTGTTCTTATTCTTTCTGATTTGTGCATTTGAACCTAGTTTTGTAACATAGAGTATAAGTGAGGTCAGTCATTTTCTGATGATTTGCAGTGGAGTGTGGCTGGAGGAGCAGTGGCCAGTCTCTCTCATATATCAGAGACATCCAGGGTTTGGCTGACAGCTGTAGCCCTGTTATTGTCAGATGGCTGTCCCTTAAGCACCACTCAGATGTGCCACATGATGCTCCACAATGAAAAATGACGGTGTCTCTCAGCTTAAATAAGAACACTGATTACATGTCTTATCGTTTTCATAGTGTTCTTACCAAAGCTGTTTGGGTGTGGGATCAGTGGTGTGAGTATGTAGCCTGTATGTGATAAAAGCATGTGTCTGTTGCACACGTGTTATCTGTATAGACGACATGCTGATTCACTATAGCTGTAATTGTAACATAAGTTATTACATCCTGTTGTTTGAAGGGATCCTGACACAAGCTGCAGTATGTGAGAGGTATAGCACAAACAATATCCAAACTATAGGAGCACTGACAAATAAATGCATTGAAGGTTATACTGAAAAACATTTGCAAATCAATTTAGTTTCAAATAATATACAACTGAGTAACTGATATTTGAATACACCCTATTTTCAGAATAGCTCTATACTGTATATTTTAAGAAATCTTACTAACCTGCCAAACCAAAATTATCAACAGTTTGCTGTTTTTGAAATCAATCAATTGGTTATTAAGACGTATATCTGTTTAGTTTATGTAGTATAGTAATTTATAGTTGTTTGTTTTTGTTTGTTTTTGCAACTAGTTTCTATTAGATTCCATTTGTTTTATACCATTTCTACATTTGGGGTTGTTTTTTTGTCATGGCTGTCTAGTACCTTATGGATTAGTTGATAAAAAATAAATAAATAAATCAATTCCCTTCGGTAATGGTCATGGCTGGGAGATCTGGCATAGAGCAATAGCACTCTGTAGGAATTTACTCTGCTTTCATACATCTGTTAAACTGTAGCTTATATAAGTTTTGGCTCTTGTTCCCTGGAGTGGTTTCTTGTGTAGGAACCACACCATCTAAAGTCTTTAAATTTAATATTAGATTGGGTCCCAAAGAATGCATCCATATGGCATCTAATTATTATTCACTTGCACCACTTTCTCTGATACAGATACAACAATAATCCCATTGCGGTTATTATTTGTTTACTGCAGTGTTAAAGGTGCACTATGTAACTTTTCTGATAAAAAGTGCACCACCTGCTTGCGTCCATCCAGATGTTCTTGCTTTGCCTGAAATGTTCCATAGTATTAAATGTATCTATCTTGAAAAACATGCATTCTTATATTGAGTGGGGTGTGCTCTCCACAAATCTGACCTGTAACCTAGCTTGGTAGAAGATGGTGACACCACCACCAGAAAAGTTACATAGTACATCTCTTTAATGCATGTTACTGTTGTCTAATGGATGAAACAATTAAGTGTTCATTCCTTTGTGACTAATAAACTGTAAATTCTCCATATCCCCTCTCAGTGTAGAAAACTTGGACGGACAGAATCACGTGGGGGCAGTTACCGGACGCCATTTTAAATTTTCCTCTGGACTTTAGAGCCTGGAGAGGAGCTGACTAATGACTAACACAGTCCTTGTGTACTGGGGAAGAGGATTTGTTTTTCAGTATCCCCCATAAACAACAGTGATAGCCTCAATGAGCAGGAAACAACATCTTGTGGAATATTCTGTTCCGATTATTAAAGGACCAAAAAAATCTGTGTGGTGCGCTCAGTGGTTACAACTATGATTGGTGTCCTTTGTAAACTGTCACTGAGTAGACCACAAATAAAATTCATTGTGTTTGCTGGAAAAAATAGGAATCCTTTTGAGAATCTGAGCTGGAATGACTAACTTGGGGTTTGGCATTCTGACATAATTGAAAACATCTCCGTGCTGTTGCTTTTTCCCATGGCTGCGTCGCACACATTGATGGGCTCAGATGAGAATTTGTTGAGCGATGAAGAATGACATCATCACATTTGGATGTGATGGGAGGGAATTTTGGGTAAATTGTTTTGTAGCGTATCCATTGTGTTGAATATACAGTTGACACCCGACTTCCTGTGTAGCCTGGGGATCCTGCTGAGCCTTTTTCATCTCTGCTCTGGTTTTCACATTTGTTTCCTGAATCTTTGACTTATGCCACTGTCCTGTGCTCCACATAGTACTACCATCAATCAGGTCAGCTACCACAAGCTTGTTCTTGTTCCCTATGCCAAATACGTCTATTCAACACTCTGCTTGAGGGGGAAAATGCACAGGTGTTGCTTGAAAATAACTCATTTGTTGTAGACGCACATGCATTGCTATATGACAGTTTCAGATATGTATTTTATATTAAGATAAACAGCATGTATGCCAGAGTGAATAAGATTATATGCACAGTCACACACTACGTTATTATCATATAACTGGAAGGAGATTCATGTGTCTGTAATGTCCTTATTAGGGGTGTACAATGCCATGAATGTGGCTTTATGATACTTATGTTACATTCAGATACTTAAATAAAGGACTATACATTGCGATTTATCAGTAATTGCATATAATATTATGGCTGAGTACACCTTCACAAAATGAAATACAATTTATTTATTTTTTAAATCATGAGATTAGTAAATAAAACTTATGATTTTTTTCATGAAAAACATGACTTTAATAAATCAATTCGGGCACATTTTGAATCGATACGAGAATCGTGCAATGAAGTTGCAAGATAGATCACAGGTTTTTCTTACACCTCTAGTCCTTATATTAAAAAAGTTTCCTATGTTTATGTATAATCTTTGTAATTAGTCTTTTCTTCAGTCTTCTAACTTGTTCTTTTTTGTTTGTTTCCAGGGAGACATCCAGCAGCTAATGATTGTAGCAGACCACCGTGCTGCCTATGACTACTGTGAGCACTACAGCCCTGATTGTGAAGTGGCGGTTCCAGACCAGCCTCAGAACCAAGATCCCAACACAGAAGATGATGTATGTTTTCTAATACACACACACTCTCAGTCTGATCTACACCATGCTGACAAAAAGACATGTAAAAATAGGAGTCAAACTGTTTAAAGTTATAAGGGAAGATATTTTGTTAATATTGTTGGAATGATGCTAAACTAATGTGATGCCTGCCTAAGCCTGTACCAAGCTTCCACACATGCTCTAAATATACAGTGTACTTGCTATCACAACGAGAACACTCGCTTCACCTTTTGACCTTATGTGTAAAAGCTGATATAAGCAGTGAGTGATTTGGTCCTTTGAACTTCTTGAATGTGCTGATAGATTTTATAAGCCCATCACATGTTCTGTATTGTGCGTTGGAAAATATCATGATTAAAAATTGTTCACTAGTAAGGACCATGTCACAGCAATGGCTTGCAATTAAGATATTTATTGATGAATGATATAATGAGGTAACTGAGGCGTAGTCCTGCTCCTGAACCTCAGTCAATCAATCATATTAACTCCATATAATGAAACACCCGTGCAAAGAAATGTTACACACATTAAATATTGAGCTGAAAACATATTGTTCCCGCTATAATTTATTGAACCATAAGTCGATATCGTAATTATTGTGATAAGCCTAACAATGTGGAGTGCCCTTATCCCAACTGTAAATTATGAGACTGAGATAGAAAGATATCAAAAATACATTATCATTATTATTATTATTTACATTGGTTTGTGGTGTTTTGCTGATAAAGAAACCAGATGATGACCCCTACTACTATGAATATCCATACTATGGAGATGTGGATGGCAAAGTTTATGAATCTACCACTGATGCAGAGGAGACAACCGCAGATGCAGATAAGGTACCTGCAGCTATGCATGTTTGTGGAATTACTGTTCAATACTTTTGATTAATGCATACTACAATAATGCACATGTTTGTTTTTTCTTATAGGTGACTGATTCTGACAGCGTGGTGACCAATGTGGAGAAGGCTTCACGAGGCGGCTCTAGTGCCACCGGTGTAGTGACATCGGTCGTGTCTAGTTCGCCATCGTCTGGTTCTTCTAGCAGCTCCTCGGCTTCAGCCAGTTCAACAACAGGAGATGAAAACTATGAAACCAGTCCCTATGACAACTATGACAGTTATGACACCTACTACGACGAATCTACACCACCTCCGGAGAAGGACACAACTGGCCGTTTCACCATCACCAACATCGGCACCGGAGGGGACATTGACTTGGGTGCTGGGTCAAAGGTCGAACTGGAAACAGGGAGTGTCATAGGAGGCGGAGGAGGAACAATCAGCATCACAACCAACAAGACAACAGTAAGTAGACAGAAGTTCTTTTGTTGGTCTTGCCGTCGGATTGTGTTTCTGATTTTTGACAGTTCATGTATAGTATCTTATATTGTCTTAGAAGGCAATTAAAGTAATCTTCTTCTAAAGCATCACACTCCATTCCTTTGGTTAAATTCACATGTCACTCATTCAAAGAAATGCTGAAAGTATCTTTGTTTAAGCATAGAGCTGCATTCAAGAAAATCACAATATTTAATCTAAATTCCATATTGTCGAAGGAATGAGTTCACAGTAACATTTTTATCACCACATCACCCAGTCTTTATTTCCAAGACATCCAACATGAAGTCACTCCCAAAGAGAACTTCAAAATCATTTATTCTGCGACCTCATGCTGTGTCTCCTGCAGTTTAGTGCCACTGTAAACCATACTACATTCATCGATATTCACCGACAAAAGACACTTTTTTCCTACTCTGACCTGCTTACACACATATCTCCTCTTTTCCAGACAGTCCACCACTCGGCACTCACACCCTGTAACTCACCACACCTCTAGGGTAGGGCTGAGTGATATGGCAATAAAAACGTAATCGTGGTCTTCTCCTTTGTCATATTATGATTCTGTGCGTCCCTGTTTAGTGCAACTGTGTGACAGTTGGAGTTAACCAATCACAGTGAAGTGTGAACAAGGAACATAGAGTCCGTGTTATTCCACAGCTGTCCAGGAGGGCCCATAGGAAAAAAGATTGAATTCCGTCCAATGTATTTTATAGTGAATACATTTTGCCATTCATCCAAGGAGCTTCTTCTGTTCTAGTTAACCACACAAACTAACACATCCAAGTTGTTTACAGCAAAGGAGTATCAGTTATAATTTTTTAAAAATTCAAAGTACTGACCAGTTGGACAGTACGTAGGCCTAAAAGTGACTGATTGAAAAGAATGAATAAATATATCAGTTTACTCATGTTCATTGTGAAGCAAAACTGAAGAAGCCACTTGTATTCACTCTAAAAAAAAATGTGAGAGATTGAATAAATAATTTCTGTTTTGGCATATTGCCCACCTCTACACTAAGGTCTCTCTCATTCCCACATGTACAAATCAGTAATATTGATTACTCATATAATACTTACTTGAAATTAATTAAAAATACTTAATTAAAAAATTATCATTTCAATGCAGTTTATAGTAAAGAGTTATAAGAAAGGTAGCATTAGCTAGTTAATATATTTTTTTCATTAGTTAACTTTGTCCATGTGGGCAATTGAAGGAATTGTATGTGTTTAGGTCTTATTTCTTTTCTTTTCTTTTTTTATAAATTATGCCTAAATGTACTTGGTTGCTCATTCAGTTCCACCTGTCTTACAGGTTGGTGGTGCCTATGAAGACTATGATGGATATGACTACAACGTTGATGGATCTTACACAACAGGTGGAGGTGGCAGCACTTCTGTTCACATTGGTGGTGGAGGCAGCAGCAGCAGCAGCAGCAGCAGCAGCAGCAGCAGCAGCAGCAGCAGCAGCAGCAGCAGCAGTTCAACCATCAGTCTTGGAGGGGGCGACACAGGCAGCAGTTCTGTGTCAGTTGGAGGTGGTTCTGTCTCGGTCGGAGGAGGCACCATTTCCATTGGAGGGGGCTCTGTGTCTGCGGGAGGTTCTTCTGCCTCAGGAGGATCGTCTACCACAGGGGCAGGCTCAGCAAGTGCCGGGGCAGGGGCTGGTGGAACCGGCCTGGGCATTGATGGCGAGCTCGACTATGAAATTGATAAATTCAAGGAGGAGGACATTGATTATTCTGATAGTGAACTTGAAGGGTATGGCGCCTATGATGAGCTGGATTATGGACAGAAAGAAAAAGAGCTCCCAGCCGAGACTGATGAATATTATGGACAGGTAAAAATAAATGAGGAAAATAGTCAAAAGTGTCAAACTAGAAGTAGTGTGTCTAATTCTTTTGTGTTTGTAGATTGATGGTGCTCGTGGTGAAAAGGGACAGAAGGGTGAGCCTGCTGTCATTGAGCCAGTAAGTAGTGAAGATAACACATACATACACACACACACACACACGCACACACACACACACACGCACACACACACACATATATGTATATGTGTATGTGTGTGTGTCATCAGTAAGTGTTAGCTAAGTGTTAGCAGAGAATGAACCATATTTATTCATATTTACTCAGAAAGCTAAAACAATGAAGCCAAACAAAAACAAGTAGTGTACTGTATAATGACCATTATGTGGTTTGTGTTTTTAGGGAATGCTGGTTGAAGGTCCATCAGGGCCTGAAGGGCCAACAGTAAGTCATCTCTCTCACACTATTATGTCTTTTTTCAGTTTCTCTTACAGTTTCTCACTTCTGCTAGATATTTCTTAGGAATATAATTTATTACTCAGCAGTAGAATATTGTATAATAGCATTAGAAGATTAGAAGTTGGCTTAAAGTAAAATTCTGTTAGTGAGGCAAAGGGAGTAGTCTTGTGATTTCCCCTGAGGAGATAAAGAACTTGTCCAGATGTGAAAGAACAAAATAATTTATTTAGCCAAGTTTTCTTAGTCAAACAGTTGCTCCTGACACTCAGCTGATGGAGTTCCATAGAAATAAGCCACTGAAGCACTAAGCAATAGTCAAACAGAGAGTGCCTCACAAAGGATTTAGCACTCAACAGTGTTGTATTGCCTCATGCATTCCTATCTCCCACATGTGACTACTTAGTGAGATAAAACAGCAGCATATACAGCGTCAGATATGGTATTTCTGCATTGCTCTCTGTGTCAAGTCCTAATGTTTTATCTTTACAGGGTCTCCCTGGACCCCCAGGTTCTTCTGGTCCTCCAGGCAGTCCTGGAGATCCTGGAGAGAGGGTGAGTAACATTTATATTCAGATTAAATCTGCCGATGTGAAAAATAGTAATAGTAATTTTGTGTTTTCCTCCAGGGTGATCCAGGTCGGCCTGGTCTTCCTGGTGCCGATGGTTTACCAGGACCTCCGGGAACTGTCCTAATGTTACCTGTAAGTAAAATTCAACCACTATACCTGGTGTGATAGCTCCACACCACTTAAAGGTACGAGTTATTGACTAATGTTCTTTGGAAAGCCAAAAGTAATTCATATATGCACACATCTGGGAAAAAGTAATGTCTTAGTACAATAAGTAAGTAAGTATTGGAGTAAGCCAATGTCTCTGTATATCATCAGGGGAAGAGTTGCTTATCAATTTAGATTTAGACCAAAATTATTGTATTTGACCTGACCCAAACATAGGGACATATATACATATTTTATATCATAAACCGGTGGTAATGATGGTTTAAATTTCACATCCTCAACATAAAAGCTATAACTATTAAGTTGTTTATGTGCATGACAGAGCAAATACAATGGATCACTGTTCCATTCTAGATCCATTGTAGATATTATGAGGTGGGTTTACAGTGTGTCAGCATACATTTAATGCAGTCATTAATCTGGTAAAATATATTTTATGTGACTTAGCTCCAAGAAGCTTTTCTGTCATACTCACAAACTATGCAATTCCACAATATCACCAGCAGATGTCACTAGACATCACTTTACTCATTTAAGCCATGCCTTTCAGATTTTAGTAATGTTATAGTTGTTTTATTTAGCACTCTTGTTTGACCTCAAGCTGTACTCTGAGTTTGAGAAAACTATTTTATACTTTTGTTAAAAATGCTTTTTCCTGATTTGAGTGATTAGACTATGTGTTTGTGTCTATAGTTCAGGTTCAGTGCTGGAGGTGACTCTGGACAAAAGGGACCTGCAATGTCAGCTCAAGAAGCCCAGATGCAAGCCATTATGCAGCAGGCCAGGGTAACCACCACTTTATAGAACTCTAACTTTTGACTTTTTTCAATGTGTATTGTGTGTCCTTGTGACTTCAGAATGATAAAATAACATTAACATATACAATAATGCAAACATGTAGGCAATACCTTGTGTGAATGTAACGCTTGTGTGAGTGACTGTTCATGGTCATAGATTGGCAGCCATTTTTAAAATCATAATTCAGTTGTTTTGGTATTACTTTCTTACCTTTTATGTATTAACTATTTCTTTCAGCTGGCAATGAGAGGCCCAACTGGTCCTATGGGTTTAACGGGTCGCCCTGGCCCACTTGTACGTATTTCAAAGCAATTGTCACCTAATCTGAAAATCCATTCTTCTACAGTTTTGTCTCAATTGCTTTTTAATTTTTAGGGACCTCCTGGTGTACCAGGTTTGAAGGGAGAATCGGGAGAAGCCGGGCCACAGGTTTGTCAAATACAAATGACAACATTTGTGCATTTGTAGAAATTCAAATATTTAAAATAAGTGTCTGTTTCAGGGACCGAGAGGACCCATGGGCTCTCCAGGACCTCCTGGAAAACCAGGTCGAAGGGTAAATATTAGACTATTGCTCATAATTTTGTGAAAAAAAAGATCAGAACTTTTACACAACTTCTTTTCAGGGTCGATCTGGAGCTGATGGTGCTAGAGGCATGCCAGGACAGTCTGGACCAAAGGTAACACTACACTTAACTTAGTGTAATATTTTTATCAGAACTAACATATGTTTATTGTATGTGATTTTTAGGGAGACAGGGGCTTTGATGGCCTGGCTGGGCTTCCTGGTGAAAAAGGACACAGAGTAAGATTTTTGTTGTTGCATTGTTTCTCATTGAGTTTACTTTTTGTATTGTGAGCTAAAATAGTTCAAACATGTTCTTATTACAGGGTGAACCAGGTCCTGCGGGGCCCCCTGGTGCACCTGGTGAGGATGGAGAAAGGGTAAGTGTTGCATTTCATGAAAAAATAAAATAAAATAAATAAATAAATGAGTTTGTGAACATAGATAGAAGACATTTTGAATTAATCTCTGCTTAAACAACAAATTAATGCTTTCTACTTTGCCACTGAACACAAGCAACTCCAATTTTTCTCCAAAGTCCAAACTCTACCACATGATTGATTATATGCTATTCTATTTAAAAATCCATACAAAATGTAACCTACCAGCTCCATATTATTTTGACACCCTTACCCTTCTCTGAGTATGTTGAGCTTGTTACATTCGAGGCTGAATGTCAGACATAGAACATCATCCTCTCCCCATGACTGTATAATGTCATCATATCATTGCTCCTTATAGCCATTCTCTAGTTCACCTGTTACTCAGTTTTCTCTTGAACATCTTTTATATCTCCACTCCATTGTCTGCGTTTTATCCTGCCTCCGTGCTCATTACCTGCTGCTAATGCAACCTGAGTCCGCCTCACCCTCCTCTGTCTTTGTGCCTTCCTATTATCCCTTCATCCCCCACCTCACACTTCCTCAATTTCCTCTCCATTATCATTCTCTGTCTGTTCCACTCTCTGACCTGCACTTTCTCTTTCTCAGGGAGATGATGGAGAGATCGGACCCAGGGGACTTCCTGGTGAACCAGTGAGTGATCACTTCTATTCCCATTCTCAGTCTTCTGAGAACCGATATGATAGAGCTAGAGGTCAAAATATGGCCTCCTATAATGTCACTCAACAGAACATCCATATTTATTCTATTCCACTATTTCAGCATTATAAAAAAGTTAATCTTCAAACTATTTCAAGTATTTTGTGAAGTCAGACAGGGAAATTTCATGGAAAGACTCTCCATAGATGCCATATCTTAGTTTGTCCACCAGGGTGTGTCAATTTGGTTTCACTGTCCGGTACAAGAAGTTAGGCTTCTTTTTGTATGTTTGGGCACATGCAGAATACATAGATACATAGACATAGATTCTACTGTAGGTAACAGCGTGGTTGTGAAGAATATGTGATGGAAATTTGTTGTTGGGAATGTTATCAAAGGGTGAAGGATTTATTACTCTTTTTCTCATAGGGGCCCCGTGGTTTGTTGGGACCAAAAGGACCTCAAGGGCCTCCTGGACCTCCTGTAAGTCAACATTAAATCTCAAGCTCTGCATTTTTATATTTTTGTTGTCAACATCCACTGTTTTTCATTTTAAATTAAACAAAAATTATATATATACAAAATATTGGTTATATATTTGTATTCATTTGCTAGTGTAATGGTTACAAAGTTTTCTTTGATGCTTGTTAATTTGAATGTATTTACTCACAGGGCGTGACTGGATCAGATGGACCACCTGGACCAAAAGGAAATATTGTAAGTGTTCCCCAGATACAATTAAGCTAAGAAAGAGAGAGAACCAAAGTGAAGACTGTCACATTGTAAAATATAGGAGTATCAGCTTCTTCAATATACTGAATCAAACATGACTGATAGTTATCCAAGAATATCCTCTGACAGCTTTAGCAAAACACATGGTGATTGTTCTGTCTCTAACCACTTCTTGTCTACTTCTGAATGTAAAGATTCTGATATCAGTTTATCAACTGATGTAGATGTAGTTAGTGGATAAATACATTAAAAACAACAAATTGCATCCGTCTCTTGTTTACAGGGACCTCAGGGAGAGCCAGGACCTCCGGGACAGCAGGGAAATCCAGGTGCTCAGGTAAGAGCAGACTCATTAGACTCACCGTTTGTTCAAATGTTTAAATTAAAGGTTCTTATTGTTCATTGACATTGTTTCAGGGACTCCCAGGACCACAGGGAGCAATAGGACCCCCAGGGGAGAAGGTACAATGCTGCAGCTATTTAAGTTGTTAATTTGAGATTTTATCAGCATAAGTCATCCCCATCTTGATTTAGCCACACTATATTGAGTTGTAATTAATTGCTTGATTAAGTTTATGTATATTTTTTTCCAAGTGATTGTACTAAATATTATTAATTGTTACTTGTGGTATGTATAGGGTCCCACAGGAAAACCAGGTCTACCAGGAATGCCAGGAGCTGATGGTCCACCAGTGAGTTACTCTTACTTTACATCTTAAATTATTAAGTTATATGATGATATGATATTATATGATAATATAATTAATTTGTTTAGTTAGGTATATATGTTACTAATTGTCTCAGGACTAATTATAGTTTTATTTAAGGGGATAATGTTGATTTACTGAGCTTTTACAACAGTGCTTCTTTCACTAGTCTCTCATTAGGCCAACAGACATATTTTTGTCTTTCCTACACTTTTGGTTGATTTTCCTCTTCCATTTTCACTCACTGAAGTGGACCCATCAGGGGATTTGCTAGTTTCCTTTGTCTCTACAGAAAGCAATCAACTCCCTTCCGATCTTTTGACTGCAGATGTGTGTGTGTGGACATGTGTGTATATGTGCGGCTACTGAGGGCAGCCTTGGCTTTTACATGCCCATTAGCGCTGGTAAAGCCTTGTATTAACATGCATAAAAATACAAATTGATAGATGCTCCTTTTAGTACTTTTTAACAATTTCATGAAGCTGATCTATATGTATATACATATATATATATATATATAATGGTTTCTGATCAATGCAATATGATATATTTATGCAACAATGTACTTGCAGGGTCATCCTGGAAAGGAAGGGCCTCCTGGAGAAAAGGGACACATGGTGAGATATTTGGATGTTTTGTTTTTCTTCAGGATGATTGGGTATTTGTATTTCCAGTAGTTTTTTCTTAGATCAGCACAAAAGTAAAATACTTTTCAATCTGACCTTGTGTTAAACTATTTCAGGGTCCTTCTGGTCCTCAAGGCCCCATTGGTTACCCTGGCCCTCGCGGTGTAAAGGTAAGTTAGACTCATAACAAATTGATTTAGATCCAGTGGTACTCAGAAAACCAAATCTTTGCTTTGGTAGTACATGGTGTGAAAAAATGTAGAGCCTCTGCCATAGAGAGTTTAATGTATTTAACTATAGTTCAGTCATTTTTTCTTATTAGAAACACTTAAGAGGGCATATTATGCAATCAACTTTAACCTTTCAGCCTTATAGTAATCCTGTATTGTCCTGCATCTAAGGCTTGAGTGCTATGAAGATTTCTGCTTTTAACTACCCCCCTATCTCATACAGGTTAAAAAATGTCACATAGACAACATTTTCAACAATAAAAGCTTGCTACAGTAAAAAGCTACTATGGGGAGGTGGGGCTTTTAGGTCTACAATCATTATTTGAGTCCTAGAAAATGTTGTTTTTCATGTTTTTAAAAGTCACTGTAAATTACACCATTATTTATAACCAGTGTTGGGAGTAAGACGTTATAAAAGTAACAAATTACTGTAATGCATTGCTTTTTGCTATAATGCAGTAATGTAAGGCATTACAGGGAAAAAATTTGCAATATTTTACTCGGTACAAATGTCAAGTGGTGGGTTTTTACGGTTTTCTTCATACAAATTCACTAAAATCACCGCGATATCAGCAGTGGTGAAACGCCAGAGGTGCACCTGCGTAGACCGTGATCGTGAGCGAAAGGACTAGCGCAGAACTCCGCGCTCTACGGAGCTAAACGCAGCTGACACCTGATTGCACTCAGGGGTTCTCTCAGGGGCGGTCCTAGATTCCAAGTTCTAGTCCAAGATTAGTCCTGGTTTGGTCCTGGTTTAGTCTTGGTTTAGACATGGTTTAGTCTTGGTTTAATCCTGATTTAGTCCTAGTTTAGCTCTGGTTTAGTCCTGGTTTAGACTTGGTTTAGTCCTGGTTTAGCTGGTTTAGACCTGGTTCAGTTCTGGTTTAGACTTGGTTTAGTCCTGGTTTAGCTGGTTTAGACCTGGTTCAGTTCTGGTTTAGTCCTGGTTTAGACCTGGTTTACTTCTGGTTTAGACCTGGTTTACTCCTGGTTCAGTTCTGGTTTAGACCTAGTTTAGTCCTGGTTTTGTCCTGGTTCAATCCTGGTTCAGCTCTGGTTTAGACCTGGTTTAGTTTTGGTTCAGTCCTGGTTTAGTCCTGGTTTAGTTCTGCTTTAGTTGTGGTTTAGTCCTGGTTCAGTTCTGGTTTATTTCGGGTTTAGTCCTGGTTTAGACCTGGTTTAGTCCTGGTTCAATCCTTCTGGTTCAGTCCTTCTGGTTCAGTCCACGGTTCAGTCCTGGTTTAGTCCTGGTTCAGTCCATATATGGTGCAAAAGCTCAGCATCTTGGCAGTTATTTTGGTGAGAGTAACTTAAAAGTAATACAGTAGTAATGTAATGTCTTAGATTTTAAATGCATTAACATTGTAATGTAACAAATTACTTGAAATTACAGTAACAAGTAATAAATAACACATTACAGTTTTAAAGTAACTTGCCCAACAGCGTTTTGTAACTGATTAGAGCAATTATTTTAATTGAATTTTAAATAAGCTAATTACACTGCTTCACTGTAACATGCCTAATATTTTCTTATGCTTGGTACACAGGGAGCCGATGGTGTGCGTGGCCTAAAAGGAAACAAGGGTGAGAAAGTAAGTGCAACTCAGAAATGTATGCTTTTGTGACTATTTTAATTGTTATAAAATATCAATAAAACATCTTCCTACAGTGACACAGATTTAACACTTTCAGATATCCAGTTATTCATGAAATTAATCATAAATTTGTTCCCACTGTCGGTTACTATGGCAACAGGATATTTAGTTGGCGCGTGTCTCTTGGTCCTTGAGCTTGAATGGGCCTTTCTACTTCATTAACATTCTCACCTCTGTTCTTTACCTCACTCTAAAGGGAGAAGACGGCTTCCCAGGATTTAAAGGAGATATGGGCGTCAAGGGTGACAGGGTAAGAGTTCTTGTTTATGTTGAACTCAGTGAATTCTGGTTCTGTGACCTTTAGCAAAAATAAATGAAAGTGCTAAAAACTCATGTCACGTTAGCCGCTTTCGGGGCCAACCTTTGTGACCAGTGTGTAGCTGTGTGTAATGAGCACACATAAGTCACTGCACCACTCAGACCTAATGATAATCAAGTTTTTCTCATTCCTATTCATGGGTTTCAGTTTTTTCTTATAAGCAATATTTTCTGAACTTTGTCTCATTCAAAAGACATTATTTATTATGTATTTAGTTTGAAATTGTTAATCGCTATGATAATGGTTATCATTCTGAAACCCATAAAGCTCAAGATTGTGTTGTCACATGTTATGGAATTTTCAGTTAGCCTAATATTAAACCAATATGCTAAAAACTAAACTTCATTCAGAGCATTCATTCAAATATTCTGAGTCTATTGTAAATAAATAATAAATGTAAAGTGCCAGTATTTAAAAAAAAATCCTTTTTGGCTAATGTATCTCTATGGATGCTTTGTGTGTTGGGCTTTGCTGACAACAGCTCTATACCAAACCAATCCTGATTTTGAGAAACTACATAAGAGAACACAGCCACAGCATCTTACACTTTAAACATCAACCCATGTGGTACTGTAAAGCTGTGTGCAGGGCAGGATAAATCAATGGCAGTTTAAGCCCTCTCTGTTTCTCTGGAGATATGGCAAATCCAGATGAAAGCAAAGATTTAAGACAGCCCTCAACTCTGGGGAGACAGACATGGAGAGGAATATGAATAACTAATTTTTAAACATCACCAAGGAAAATGTGTGCTCAGTTTTAAAGGCATCTTCTATGAGCCTACAAATGTGCATCAAGTACAGTTTCTTGTATTTGTGATTTTTGGGTGTAGCCATACATGCTGAGAAGGGAGTTACTATGTAGAAAATGTGTATCTAATATACTTGTTGACTAAAACAAAGATAAAAAATGAAAAATATGTCTGACTATTTGAAAACACAACAGAGCTCATTGTGTTTTCCTTCTAGGGTGAACTTGGACCTGCTGGACCCAGAGGAGAAGATGGCCCTGAAGGTCCAAAGGGTCGTGCAGGTCTTCCAGGAGACCCAGGACCACTTGGATCAACTGGTGAGAAGGTAATTGTGTTAATGTATTCACAAAACATTAGCAGTTTTTTATATATATATATATATATATATATATATATATATATATATATATATATATATATATATATATATATATATATATATATATATATATACACAAATTATTAATAGTGTTATAAAATGTCTCACAGGGTAAACTTGGTGTTCCCGGGTTGCCTGGATATCCTGGAAGACAAGGACCAAAGGTTACTATGTTTTTATTGCTATTGTATAATTATGTACAAGGTTATTTAAAGAGCCTGTTTTAACCATATGGCTTTGATGCTGTGTAAGAATAATACAATATTACAACATTATGTGAGATCTTTATCACAAATTTCTGCTTTATACATTTTGCATATTGACTCACTTATTTTCTTTTATACTTGCAGGGATCTCAAGGTTTCCAAGGGTTCCCCGGTGCCAATGGGGAGAAAGGAACACGAGTAAGTCTCACAGTACATCAGTATGTAATTTTGTAAATAACATTGTTCTCACAATTATCTGAAAATCACACCTTAACCTGCGCACCAGTGCAAACATGTACAAAATGCATAAGTTTGTGTAGTAGAATGTGCAAGTTAGAAGAGGAATCCAGTATGGCAGTATGAGAAATATTTTGCAAGAACTTGACCTCCTTCATGGCCATGTTAATTCATGGAATTAAAAATTTGCCTATCTTTATTTCTTTTGTTAAAAGTTAAAGAAAGTCAGAGAAAATAGAATATTGTGTATATTTTAAATGTATTTGTTGTGATTACTATTTCATTACAGTAGAGTATCTGATGCTTTTTGCCCTTTGATAGAAGTGCCATTTCTTTGATCCTTGCATTTGCTCTTGATGCCCACAGGGAACAGGAGGAAAGCCTGGCCCACGCGGACAGAGAGGACCAACGGTTAGTCTTACTCAGCACACTCAGTAGTATGCAGATGGCAAGCTTGGCACTCAATTGTGTGGAGCATCAGTGATAACCAAGCTTTTGTTTGTTCTTCTAAAGGGGCCTCGGGGAGAGAGAGGGCCAAGAGGACCAACAGGAAAAGCAGGACCAAAGGTATATTTCTTAGGTAGTTGTTGATACATTATGTTTAGACAGATATACTTAATTAAATACTTAATTTTTTCAGGGTAACTCCGGAAATGATGGTCCACCAGGACCTCCGGGTGAGAGGGTATGTATGAAAGATGTCCTAATTTATTAGGGCTGCCATGTTCTAACTCCTCATAATTAACAATTTGTTGTATTGTTTTAGGGTCTGCCTGGACCTCAAGGCCCAACAGGATTCCCTGGTCCAAAAGGACCTCCTGTAAGTCCTGCTCGATGAATTTTCATTCTCTTCTTCCCTCTGAGAATATTATGTAAACATTTGGTTGGTTTGGGGTTCAGGGACCTCCAGGCAAAGATGGACTTCCTGGACATCCTGGGCAGAGAGGAGAGACTGTAAGTAATGTTTTTCTTCTCTATCACTATTGCAATCAGAGTCATTTGAGCTTCAGTTAGCAGCGTCTTTCTGTCCTACACAGGGTTTCCAAGGAAAGACTGGCCCTCCCGGGCCACCAGGTGTGGTTGGACCACAGGTGAGAGTCAAACTTTCTCTCAGATAAATGTTGTCTGAAAGACATGAGCTATCCATTGGAATGACCCTTCAAGTATATTTTACTATTGATTTGACTTTTAGTCATTGTGTAAACATTAACCAGGCCTTGTCTCCCAGCTGCTCAGCTAAGACCATAGCTCAGCCTAGTAGGACATAAGAACTAGTGATCCTCTCACACTGAATATGCTTGCTCATTTTAATTCGTAGAAAACTGGAGCACTTTACAGTCTATAGTTGATAAAGTGTATCGTTTTTTGAAAATAATGTTTGATATATTCAATCTTCTTGAAAACTTTTATTCAGGGGCCAACAGGAGAGACAGGACAAATGGGTGACCGGGGTCACCCTGGACCCCCTGGCCCTCCTGGCGAACAGGGTCTACCAGGAGCTGCTGGAAAAGAAGGGGCTAAGGTAAAGAATTATTTTGAATTTTAATGTCTTCATGTAGATTTATGTTTCATGCCATGTAATATCACAGACTGATCTTATCTTTATGTTTAGGGTGACCCTGGTCCTGCTGGACCTGCTGGTAAAGATGGACCTCCTGGGCAAAGAGGTTTCCCTGGAGACAGGGGCCTGCCTGGTCCTGTGGTATGTTATATTTTGTACTGGGAATAAACTACAAATAAAATAATAGCTAATTTTAATATGCATGTTTAAAGACAGTGAAGTCGTGTCTGTGAAAACTCTCTTTTCTTGTATGCTACAGGGAGCTCATGGACTGAAAGGAAATGAAGGTCCTCATGGCCCACCTGGCCCTGCAGTAAGTACAGATACCAGTATCTTAATGCTACCTTTCTCTTACTGCTTTGCTGATAATTATTACATTCAGTGAATGTTGTGTGTTCAAGTGATATGATTTCCATAATTCATGTATTCTTTGCTTTAGGGTTCTCCTGGTGAACGTGGCCCAGCTGGCCCTGCAGGACCTACTGGGCTTCCTGGACGTCCAGGTCCTCAGGGTCCACCAGGCCCCGCTGGAGAGAAGGGCGGACCGGTAATTCTCTTAATTCGTAATGAACCCAAGCTTAGATGTCATACACTATATACAAGTCTAAAAAATGTTCATTTCTAATTATTTTTAAGGGTGAAAAAGGACCTCAAGGCCCAGCTGGAAGAGATGGTATTCAGGGACCAGTAGGGCTTCCTGGACCTGGAGGTCCGCCTGGGCCACCTGGGGAGGATGGAGACAAGGTTAGTTTTATTTAATGTATTGTATATATTACTATATAATCTATCTTTAAGATGAACTGTGCATTGTCTCATCCAGTCATATAAGTCACACAGCTAATGTTTATGATGGCATCTAAGGCTGTTTCTTTATTTCTTACTTTGTCTTTAATTGCACTAAAGACTTTTTAGAACAACAGTGCATAGTATTAGACTAAGAGGGAAGTGAGAAACATTTGTGACATGGACAGAATGTGTGAAAAAGGGATGATGTAAACCACACCGACTAACTCAAAGTATCTAAGCTAGATCAAGGATGTGATGGACAGCTCACTTACTAAATAATATTGATCCGATAGTACAAATGGACTGTGCAACTTCAAATTTGTTAATTTATTAGTTAAATTTCAACATAATTGAACTTTGATTTATACATGTGAAAATGTATTTGTTTTAAACACATAACTTTTTTTTCTAGGGTGAGATTGGAGAACCAGGTCAAAAGGGAAGCAAGGGGGACAAAGGAGAACATGTAAGTCATGTTGGAGCCATGCAGTATCATTATACCACAGTTATATATTTTAGAATTGAATACATATTGTTGTATATTGAATGTATATTGTTGTATTTCACAGGGTCCTCCAGGTCCAACTGGGCCCCAGGGACCTGTCGGAGCACCTGGTCCTGCGGTAAGTACTCAGTTTTGAATCATTAAAAATACTGTCTGGACATTGGTCTTTTTGAGTATGAATTAAACTTAATAATTCTGTGTGTAGGGAGCTGACGGAGAGCCTGGTCCCAGAGGACAGCAGGGTCTGTTTGGCCAGAAGGGAGATGAAGGGACAAGAGGTTTCCCTGGACCTCCTGGCCCAGTTGGACTGCAAGTATGACAAATGCACAGTATTTAATTGTAACAAATAATGGATGATGCACTCAGCTAATTTTATATACAATTCAATAGGGCTTGCCAGGTCCACCTGGTGAGAAAGGTGAAACTGGAGATGCTGGTAAACAGGTATGGCTTTTTCAATTATTTACAAATTTAGAATCAGAAGCAGTTTTCCTTGTCAGTGAATAAAAAAATGACAATCATAGAACTATACCTAGGCAGTTGATGTAAACTTTTAGCAAGAAGCAATTAATAATATAGATACAATGAAAGAGGTAAATATACAAAAGGTACTATTGTGCCATTATCTTTAGGGTCCACCTGGCCCGCCAGGGCCCAGAGGACCGTCTGGACCTCCTGGAGCTGATGGCCCTCAAGGACCTCCTGGTGGTATTGGAAATCCTGGAGCTGTTGGAGAAAAGGTACCCTTACACATTTTTCATGTTTCATAGTCTATATTAAAAAGAAAAGAAAAAAAAAGAAAGACTTGGGCCTTGCACTGTATGCCTTTTGCACTTTTGCACTATTTACCATTATTTATTTATTTAATACACATGTGATAGTGAGAAACACAATTTCGATTCTTTGTATGATCTTTGTATGAAGAATTGACAGTAAACTTTTTTGAACTTTGGACTTTGAACTTCTTCATAGAGTAATAGAAACTGCGGCTGTCACACTTACATAGTGGAACAGCCACATCCTTACATAACATATGGATATGCTACTGTCTCATCGGATTCAGTCAGCACTTATTAGTGAATGCCAAGTAGTTGTTCTTTATATTGCCAAATGCCAAAAATAATTAATTATGGACCAATAATTGTTGTTCCTATCTGTTTCTAGGGAGATTCTGGTGAACCGGGAGAGCCTGGACTTCAAGGAGAAGTCGGTCCTCCAGTAAGTAGTGAATTTGACTGACACTGATACTTACTTCAAGCATTTTGATACATTTTGGATTACCCTGAGAGCAGCTTGCCCTTAATGATCTGTGTGAATGATAGGGACCAAGAGGAGAACGAGGAGAAAAGGGTGAGGCAGGTCCTGCTGGCACAGCTGGACCTCCTGGCCCCAAAGGTCCCCCTGGAGATGATGGTCCCAAAGGAAGTCCGGTAGGTTTGAGTTTTTAAATGTAATCAATACTCAATCCAATCAAAATTAGTTTTATTATTTAAAGATTACTGTGTATTTTAGGGCCCAAGTGGTTTCCCTGGTGACCCTGGTCCACCCGGAGAGCCTGGTCCTGCTGTAAGTAAAATTCATACTGTACTTCATTTATGAATAGTTTGCCATTTAGCCATTCAGCTATGATCTCTTTCAAACTACATTTCAATATAGGGTTTAGATGGTCCACCAGGAGACAAGGGAGATGATGGAGAACCTGGTCAGCCAGTAAGTAATGCTTTCAATATAGAGAAAATGTTAAAAATAAAGTAAAACTATTCATGCTCATTTTGTACAAAATCCAGGGCTCTCCTGGACCAACTGGAGAGTCTGGTCCCTCAGGGCCACCAGGCAAACGGGTAAGCACTATTCCTATACACTATTCACCATACTGATGGAGAAGAATGCTGCAAAATAATTTTGTCTTATATAATATTAATGTGTGTCATATGTGTAATTAGGGACCTCCTGGACCTGCTGGACCAGAGGGCCGACAAGGCGAGAAGGGAGCCAAGGTATTTTAATCATCCATCACAAAGTTGTATTCTTTTGAACCAATTACAACTCTTAATGTTTGCATTTAAGGGAGAGCCTGGTTTGGAGGGTCCCCAGGGAAAGACTGGTCCTGTAGGTCCCCAAGGTTCACCTGGAAAACCTGGCTCAGAGGGCCTCAGAGGAATCCCTGGCCCAGTTGTAAGTATCCAGGTTCTTTTTATGATGTGAGCTGCTTTGTATGGGTTGTATTAGTACTAACTCTATTTGTACACAGGGAGAACAAGGTCTTCCTGGTGCCCCAGGGCCAGATGGGCCTCCTGGACCTATGGTAATTAAAAAATATATTGTCAGTACATTTATTTGCAATGTGACTGTCCTCATCCACTGCAATGTCTGCACCACAGGGCCCTCCAGGTTTACCAGGCATGAAAGGAGATTCAGGTGTTAAAGGTGAAAAAGTGAGTATTATTTAAACCGAATCGTTTGTCTTTCTGGGTACATCTGCCTGAAATGTATCTAAGCAACCATGTGTTGTCTTCTGAACAGGGCCATCCTGGCCTCATAGGCCTAATAGGACCCCCAGGTGAACAGGGGGAAAAGGGTGACCGGGGTCTTCCTGGTCCTTCAGGAGCATCAGGTCCAAAAGGAGATAATGTGAGGACTTAAATGCATGTAGAAATATGATTATCATTTAACATGATCATTTTCTGGGGTCAATACAGTTTATTTCTTTTTAAAGGGTATTGCTGGTCCACCCGGTCCTCTTGGCCCAGTTGGTCCACCTGGATTACCTGTAAGGCTCAAAAGTCTTTTTATTTTGTTTATTATTTTGTTAAAAAAAAAAAAACAGATGACAGTGATATTATCTGATCTGTTTTAGGGCCCTCCTGGTCCCAAAGGAGCCAAGGGATCATCCGTAAGTGATTTTTGCAAACAAAAGTACTTAAAAACAATTATAACTTCTTACCCATGATGTCCTTATGCATGTTTATTTGTGCAAATTAGGGCCAAACAGGACCAAAGGGAGAAACTGGAACACCTGGACCACCAGGTCCGCCTGTAAGTTCATTTCACTCTCTTTTTCTGTCCTGTTTCTGTTTCTATAAATGGATAAACAAAAATTCTATCCATTTTCTTTTTACCACAGGGCCCTCCTGGTGATGTTATCCATCCACTGCCTATCCAAGCCCCTGTGAAAGGTAGAACACGCAGAAACATAGATGCCAGCCAGATAGTGGATGATGCCTCTGTAGACGCCAATTACAAGGACTATGATGATGGCATGGAGGAGATCTTTGGATCACTGAACTCTCTAAAACTTGAGATTGAGCAGATGAAGCATCCACTGGGAACACAAGGCAACCCTGCACGGACCTGCAAGGACCTGCAGCTCTGCCACCCTGATTTCCCAGATGGTGTGTAAGACAGTGCATCCCCAAACCAGTTTACTATTGCAGTATCAATTTTTTTACAGCTATTTAAAGTTTGTGCCCAGAATATATTGACATACATTTGTATGTTCCACTCCAGGTGAATACTGGATTGATCCAAACCAAGGCTGCTCTCGAGACTCCTTCAAGGTGTATTGCAACTTCACAGCAGGAGGGGAAAGCTGCATATTCCCAGATAAAAAATCAGAAGGGGTAAGTAAAGAAACAGATACACGCAAATATACCATGAAAACAGTGACCTGATTGAACAAAATACATCAAAATTATTGATGTGAAAGCACATAAGAGATTAGATTTTTGTTTTAACTGGAAAATATAGAGAAGCGACTAAATAGTAATAAAGGTTTTATCTTAATATCTTCATGTCACAAAAAGCCCATCCTTAATAATAACTACATTTATTTAATGACTGGAAGATTTGCTGGTGTAACAGAGTAATTACTTTGTCCCAAAACATAGTAAGTAGTTTTGTCTCATTAAAAAGTGCAAGTTACAATGTTTTACTATATTAAATCTGTAATGCCAGAGAGGACTTTTTAAAGACTGGTTTTAGCACTAATCCTTTAATATAAAATTACATAACAAACTTCATCATACTGGAAGTATTTAGTAGTCAACAAGGATGTTGAGACATTTTGGTCAATTTGGAGTTTATAGGCCTGAATTGGTAGGGAGAGGAGTGTGGTGAAACACTCTTTGACAAGTCAGGAGTTGTGTAATAGCACACTGTTACAGCCACTTTAATGATCCCACTCACCAAGTCTCAGAGGAGCTGGGTTTGCTTAAACTTGGAATAATGAAGAAGACTTTTTATAGCTCACTGTTGATGGGCTCCTCACAAACGTGTTGGTTGAGATGAGAAAAAAGCCTGTGCTGTCAGTCGAGGGATTTAAAAGCCCACATATGTGTAGACTGGCCCACTTTCTTTACTGACACCATGTGTGCTGTTCATGTAGTATGCAGAAACATGGATAATAGACAGTTGCACTGCAGTAACACTGCAGTAGTCAAAGGCAGTATCACTTCTCAACAAATACCGTAAGTGAAGGTCACCTTTAAATCACCATGACTCTAATGTATATGTCATCTCACAGCTATAGGCCATGTCTAAGCCATCGTTCATTACACAGATTTAATGACCAGCTCATATAGATTGCTGTTACCTAATTACACAGAAATCTATCATTGTCATTGCTAAAACCATTAGGTCTGTGTCGCATTGACCAAGTCACAGCTTTTATTACATAACTAGTCAGGTTTCTGCGTGGCGTGAAAAGAAGCAGTGGCTGCTGAGCTCCATGCAGGTAATAATTCCATAATTAAACAGTTTGTACTCATACATTTTTCAGTAGCAATTATCAAGCTGTTACAGTTTGGTCAGTACAAAATGGAGAGTAATTCTGTTACACTTTGTTGGTTCATTTTCTCGGGGTGGTCTCACTCTTGTTGCAGGTCTGGATAAATCCTTTGGTGGAAGAGAAGAAGGTCTGAGTGTGAATGCCACACTAGTGTGTTTCTCAAATGCACTCTTCTTCTTTAACATTGCCATTTTTCCTCCTCTTTTGCTTCTCTATCAATCTATGCCCCCAGGCTAGGCTTACGTCTTGGGCTAAGGAGAATCCTGGTTCCTGGTTCAGTGAATTCAAACGTGGTAAACTGGTAAGCCACACCCTTCTTTTCCTAAGCCCCCTTTCCTGAATACTGTTCATATTTTACAGAGCAAAATGGCAAAATGGCCCAAAGACACACCAGGCACATGGTATAGTCACTACAAGCGGGGTTCCCTGGTAAGTGCCCGTGCCTCTGGTGCAGGGTCCTGGCTGAGGCAGGACTCTGTCTGCCAGGGGCTCTGCATGGGACTGCTCCACACAGTATGTATGTGTATGTGATGCTGCACCTGGCTGTTGTGCATGACCCCAGTCCTACTAGATCTGGTGATGCTCTGGTGCTCTGGAAAGGTTAGTAGAGTTACCTCTGCCATACCTTTGCCATAAGAAAGCATCACGAAATATGACTTTGTGCCTTGGCACTGCAGTGACTCAAATATATTTGTATCAAATAATCTAGCAGTAACAGTAAATGTGAGAGGTCTTAAAAGTAGACTCCCCTCAAACTCCAATTGAATCACCCAAATTATGCAGTGCAGGTGCTCAGTCAACACCCAGGGGTCCCTGGGTACTCAGTCACTCTTGACTTGCGGCTATGATGATGAAGAGGTAATGTTTCTTTGTGAATGGTGCTGATGCACACCTTGCAGTAAAGAAGCACATATGACCTGCATGAATATAGGGCATGAGCAGGGTAGTGCTGCTTCCAGTTGGCATATTAATGTGTGTGCTATATGAGAAGAACACGCATGTTTGTGCCTGTGGGAGGTTTGGTGCTCTTGGATGGTGCTTTGGCTGCATGGCATGGATGCTGCATGAGCTTTAATTTTAAGGAGGTCTTAATGTTGCAAAGACGAAGAGACATTTTGGATCTGATGGATTCTTGATGGTTGGTATGAAAATAGTCACATTAAGGAAAAAAATGTACCAGGTCTCGACTCAAACTATTCTCAGGCCCAACTGATGTATCTTCTTTCTTAACACATCACAAATGTCGTTACTAGAACATTAGTCAAAATAATAGTTCAGTTTGAACAGTACAAGCAGTACAAGAACAAGATGAACAGAAGCAGAAGCAGAAAAAAGTCTTGGCAAAAATATAATATTAGAATGTATATTTTATACAACTTCCTTTTTCAATTTTGTCTTCTTTTCTATGAAAAGAGAATAATCTAAAAAAAATAATTTTGTGAAACAGCTTGTGAACCACAAGTTATAATAAACAGTTTCAATAATCTTTTCCCATACTAAAGTGTTTTTACCTTCATTTATTTTGGAGGGATTGATATGAGAATGATATAATGCCATGCACTATTGTCACAGTGCTGTGCTTTTGTTGCAGCTCTCCTATGTGGATGCAGAGGGAAACCCCATCGGAGTGGTCCAGATGACCTTCCTGCGGTTACTGAGCGCAGCAGCTAGGCAGAACCTTACATACAACTGCTACCAATCTGTGGCCTGGCACGATCAAGAGCAGGACAATTATGACAAAGCCATCCGCTTCCTGGGCTCCAATGATGAGGAGATGTCATATGATAACAACCCCTTCATGCATGCTCTAGTCGATGGATGTGCGGTAAGTAACTGTCTTATTTCTCAGGGCATTCACACTAGACTGTGTACTCTCTGTAGTGTTTTAGACTGCACGTTTGCTAATGCTGTCACTCAGTGCTGCTTTTCTGTTTCTTCCACAGTTGAAAAAGGGCTATGAAAAGACAGTACTTGAGATCAACACACCAAAGGTGGAACAAGTGCCTTTTGTGGACATCATGTTTAATGACTTTGGCGGCTCCACGCAGAAGTTCGGATTTGAAGTGGGCCCAGCTTGTTTCATCGGCTAAGACTGTTTACTGTGTGAATGGAGGAAAAAAGCATATTTGTTTTCTCAGAAAAACAATTTAAAACTAGGACAATTCTATTTGTAAAAAAGTACCTTCTCCTTAAAACAACAAGTACGAGTACAATGAAATCAATGAGACAAAGGTGATATTTTAAAAGAATAGAGGAAAGTGAAAAAGAGCAACCTTGAAACCTCAGTGTGCCTTCTCCATCACATGCAAGTTTTGAAACTGGATGTCAGGTCATGCCCCTCTCATTTCGACTCTCTGTCCAGGAAGGCAGCACTGTGAGCTGCTGCTGTCTGATGGCCGCACTGTTTACTGTGGACTTAATATCACTGATATCACACCTGGTATCATGCTTTACATCAGACCTGCGTCTCTTCACATGGCTTCTACACGTTTTGGTGTTCGCTCATTCTCCACGGGAGCTTTGTTTGTGCATAATGATCTTCCAATTATCTTGAAATGGACCTTATATATAAATATATATAAATAATTTTATGTTTGTAAGTACATTCTGTATATTTTTCCTGGTTAAGTGTGTTGTTTCTGGCTTCAAAACATGCATGTGACTTTATCTTTGGAAGGTAAGGAATCAACTGGGAAAGTAGCATTCAATTTTAGAAATATGGAATACTTCAATTGTTAATTAGAGCAAAACAAAAATGAGGAAGTCCTCTCTTGTTGCAGGTGTGGAGAACGGCTTGTTGTAATTTAAGAACAGAATACAAATAAAACACATTCAAGTTCTGTGATAGTATGTGACAATTGATTTCCAAAGAAAAAAAAATACATTCCTTCTTTTTGTCCCTGAGTGTTATCCCTGTTCCAGTGGGAGTTTAACTTAATAAATGTCGGACTATGCAATGGCAGATGAGGTCATGGTTCACTAAAACACAGACCACATAGGTGCTATTTTCTCTCTTCTGTGGTGCTATGTAATATTTTCTATTTTATACTGTCTGATTGAAATTGTAGATGACTGCCCTTTAAGTATTGTTGACTTGCATTGCTGTGGTGTGTGCATGCCACTTGCCTGCCTATCCACATACTGGCTGGTGCAGCTTGCCCAGAGTGTACCCTGCTTCAGTGGCCCATGTCTGGCGAATGGCAATTAATGACGTTGGCTTTGAACATGGCTGTTTCAAGATGCTGCATTCTGGGCTTGTCTTTGGCTGGTATGTGCCCATCATCGGTGCCGCAACAAACCTCAAGGAGTGGACGTGCCAAATTGATTTCCTCAATCCCTTCCAACCAAAGTGTTTCGTGTATATTTTAAAATCTATTTTTGTATGTAAAAAGAACTTGGGAAAAAAAGAATCTGTACTTATTAATGAATCAATAAATGTCACCAAATTAGCAACACAAATACGTATGCAACACCAAATACTGCTTGTTGTGCTCCTTTTTGCCATGTTCTGATGCTCAATTTAAACTATGCACTCTTTTTGCTTATGACCACTAGTATTGACCACAGAGTTGCCCCCCTGCATAGGATTGCTTTTTTAATAAAATGAGAGACTTGAACAATGTCTGTTTAGTGAACTCCATGCTTGTAGATTCCTGGTATTATTTTTCATGTCATGCAATACGCTCTTAATCAGACAGATCCTTTTGTAAATTTTTCAAACCAGCCAAGGCTGCCATCGTTTCTTGTGTTTGTAGATTTCTATGTGGTTGTTTGTTTGTTTGTTTTCACAATCTTGTCAAACCTGTGTAAGAATAGGAGGATAAAAGATATTTGGTTTTTATGTCAATAAATTCAAGTTTACTGTGGCCATCCACTCTTGTATGTCTTTTGAAGCATTAAACCCTATCTGTATGCATGAAACTGTAAAGTTTTTTTCTCTTGTTATATTGTGCCATGACATGATCTCATGCTCATGTTTTCTAATCAGGATATAGCAGCTTTTCCATTGCTACCGATAAACCAAAGGATCATGTCCAAAATTGTGAAGTGCAGAGAAAATGATGAACTTGTAACTCTACCAAAGACAATGTTTTTGTAGTATATTTATTGTACTATTTAAAATCAATAAATGTAAAATGAGACCATAGCATAAGTGTATAAGGCCACTCTTTACATTTTCAGACTAAACTGTACTATACAAAACTGTACTATATAGTACAAAACTGTACTATACACCATTATACACCATTATAGTCTTTTTGTGTGTGGCTAAATATATGACATTTCCTCTGTTAAAAGCACTACTTCCTGCCTTTTCCTGCTCTTCAGGGACCTCCCAGTGCTGCGTCCCTCATTTCTTTGGGATAAGCACAAAATACATTGAGACCTCTTGTGGTTGAGCAGTGACATATAGAGTCGTACGGTCTTGTTCATTTTCTTTGGAGAATTTCACAGGTGCAGAACTTGTGGCCAAACATGAAGTCACATGCTCCTTCACACCTGCTTTTGGAGGGGCAGTCGACAGGGCTCCATGGCCACAAGCACTTGGACAGCAGTAAAGTTGTCTTTGTTAATATTATTACAGAATATGGGGGCATTATGGAGACATAAGCTAAATCAACTTTAAGCTTTTTTGAGCTTTTAGCTTTGTTATAACACTAGCTGACAGAGTAATCCTGTATTGTCCTTCATTTAAGGCTTAAGTGCTCAGACAATTTCTGTTTTCATCTATCCCCCACCCACATTCCTGCACTTAGCTGTGATTATTTGAACAAGACTCTGATACATGTGGAGATCTAAAATGTCAAATAGGAACATCAAATAAGAATATGAACATGTGCTTCTTGCTACAGTGAAATGCAACTACGAAGACCTGGGGTCACTATTAAGGCCTTTTTATATTAATATGGTGGTTGACAATGAACAAACTGAAATGATGATCTACTTCCCTATAGGTACAGTAGGTTTTTATTAGTGCTCAGGGTTTTTATAATGTACCTTATTTTTGCTTTTTTCTCTTACTCTAAGAATATGCACCGTCACTTACTGTCCTAATAATTGCTTAGACACACATATTTTTTAAGTTTCCTTTGGATGGATCACAACAAAGTCATAAGTCATAATTCACCCTTATCCCTGCTGGAGTTAACTCCTATAGGACAGTCTTTTCTATACATTTTTATGCTCTGCTTTGATCAGCTGGTGCCGCAATGAGGAGCAACCTCCTATGCCTCATTAGAGAGCGAAATTCTTACTTTATGCAAAAGCTGAGCGCAGCAGAAAGTGATCATCATAAAGCAAAACATTTGTGCTAGTACTACAATCAATGTTTAATGTGGTGTTTGCAGAGTGGATTCCAGCCTGTGGATTTGACCAAGAAGTACTAGGAGGGAAGAGCTATGTGAGAAATAATAGCATCAGTGACAGCAGTGGAAAAAGTGGGGCACAAAATGGGTTGAAAAGAAAGAGAAAAATTGCAGATGGGGGACTGTTTTGTGCAACAGGTCATGTTTCAAGGTAATTCTACATCTCCCCAGATGAGTTAATCATGGGAGGCATTTTTAGACACCTTAAGATTTATGAATAGGTCATTTCAGGACTTGGAGATCTACTTAAGCTTCCTAGCCTAAATTAGAGCTGTGGCTGATTCTTAAAGGAGAACATATTAAGATGCAGTTTCAAGTAAGTTTTGGAGGGTATTAATTACTGCCTAGTGTATTATTTAAGTAATACACTACATATAAGTAACACATCACTATAGTCAGCACACATAGTACAGTTAAACATAAGTTGACAAAAAACAGTTTATCACTATAAACTTAGAGGTAGGCATGTTTCCAAGAGCTAGGAAAATGCCCAGTCTACTCCATGCTATTGCATTACAAAATGATTTTAATATAACTTAACTGCTCACAGTGGTGTGGCCTATTGAAGGAAGTATTAGGACAGAGCTGTTGTTCAGGTCTAATAGCTCAGAGCCAGTGGATGTGGAATGAACAGGGCCCATTCATAGACCACTGACCCACTTCCATTTGAATAAGATAGGACAGGCAAAGACACAAAGATACTAGTACGACACACATGCCTTTTTAGGATTTTAATACCAGGCTCTTATGCACTAAACGGCTTTGAAGACAGATTGGTGGTAATAGTTTAACTTTTTAAATCCCATTAGAGCAGTGTGGGGAGGAGGTAGAGCATTTAAACAAACTTTGCCTTTGGACTCACTTCCATACCACATTTTAAAAGCCAAGTGTTGGATTAAGCCAACTGTCAGCACTTCATACTGCGCTTTTCCCCATGGTATAAGTCACTTTACAATTTTGTGCTTCTTTCATACACTCTATACTCTGTGTTAGTAAGTTACTATTGTAGTCACAGCTGTCCAGGGACTGATGGAAGAGAGGCTACCAATATGCACCATCTGCCCCTCTGACCACCACCAGTCATGGATTCACACCGCATTCATACTAGGCAATGTAGGTGAATTATCTTACTGAAGAAATACAACAACAGTGCGTGTTAGAGTCGCAGTTGCCCCACTGTGGCATCTGGTATTCCCAGTGGTCCCAGCATACAGGTTTGACCACCGGTGACGTGTCCAGATGTTATTTATTTAAGATCAGACTCCTTCCTGACGATATTGTGCCTGACTAACTAACTGACAACTAACTTTATTAATATAAAAGTTCAGATTAAAACGTTCTCTGCAGCTACACAGGTGTTTTCCCTTTAAGACTTTATTTTGTACAATAAGTCTATTTTTCTGCTGTTAAAAGAATCAAACTTTTGCTCTCATGGTACAAACTGTACTTCCTCAAGGACTGTGGCCTGTCAGTCAAATGAGCTCCTGCCCACTCACCGCTGCAGCCCCAGCAACAGATAAATGTCTGCACCTGTGAAATGGATTACGTGGGCACATTCTGCCGTCATGCTTCTTCACACAACATACTTTCAAACTGTTGGTCTTGCAAAAAACTAAACAAAAACAAAAACTGGACAAAAATTTTTTGAGTACAAAAAAAAAAAAAAAAGAAACTTTTGTCCAATTGACATAATTTTTTTATTTATTTTTTTGCTATTAAATGAAAATAAATAAGTAAATTTTTGTATATAAACAGAACAAAATGACTGGTTTATTGTAGCAAGGAGAGTTAGTGAATGACAGATATTTATATAATGCAAAATGAGAAGTAAAATACAAGCCCAAAATGGCGGCTACACTAGGGAAAAGGTGGGAGACGTTTGAAGTGTAAATACAGCACACTCCAGTGCAGAGTTTTTTCCCCTGATAAAATCCAGGTAAATAACCCATGAGCAAGCTTGCGTATCCGAATGATATTCCAATGGAGCAGATGTGATTAGCATAGATACAACCAGAGCAGCAGAATCCTTTTGTTCCTCTCATGCTTTTGTCACACACAAACATCTGGGATGTCATTAAATCTACTTTTTTAGAACATGAGGGATTCCCGAGAGAAGCAGATGCTCAGATGTGACGAGAACCCCAATTTTGAAATTAAATAAAACATAGCCATAGCATAGCCATTACATGATTTAGATCCACAGCACCCACAAATCAAGTTTGCAGAGGAATGTTTTTGTATTGCATATGTATTGTAATATATTAACTAAAGTAACCACAAGAGGTCAGTAAATATATGACTAGATACAGTCAATTATGGGTTAAAAAGCCATAGTGCCTGACTCCATAGCATTTATCCCAGAGTCAGAATACTGCTGCTGTGGTTGAAAATTTAATAAAATAAAGTCAAATGTTGAAAAGTAAAAAGAGGCATATAACATACATTGTGAAAAAGTGAAAATGAAGTTACAACCAAAGTAGCCAACAATTAAAAAGAATAATAATCTGTTACCAGAAGTAATGATAACAATAATGTTAAACCATAAGTCTTGGACTTATTTGAATAATTTTATTGAATACAATTGCCTATATACTTGTCCTGGAATTGCTAATCCCTATGAAAACAAAATGGTAGGCAAATGGTAGGTGTAAAAACTACCGCTTCATGACATCACAAGGTGAAACAGAGCATTATGAGCTTAGACAGACTAATAATGCAGGGTCACTCACACTGTGTGAAAGAAATTTAACACAATGAGTATGGTTTGGTGAGATAACAAGATTATAATATGTATAAAATATAAGCGTCATAAGAGTAAGACCTTTAAATAAAGTTACTTCTATATATGATAAAACAGCAAACAAAAAGTATTTTTTATATAAATGTATTGCTCAGCTAGACTATGTGACTATGTGAGGCCACTTAATGGGAAACAATGATACTTAGTTCAAACGTCTGTCTGATGTGAAACAATGAAAGTTTGCATGGTGCCTCGCTGGGGGATGCTTTGTCCCACTCATGTAAAACTTAGTCCTTGATTTAATTAGACCATCTTGTTTCTGGGGCCAGAAGGAAGAGCATATGGCAGCGCACTGTTTTGCCTTCTCATGCAGCGGTGTGCTATTTCAAGATGTGAGTGTTTGAAGTGTAGTGGGACAGTGCTCCTGTCTGCTAAAGGCTCCCCAGTGGAGACATGAGGGTCAAAAGCACCTGCGGATGAGCCCCCAACAGCACACAAGGACAGGCTCATATTATCAGCTTTAATTACCTCCCCCACCACCCACCACACCTTCACCACCATGTCATTCAGCTATGACAAATAAGGACAGGCCATATTATTCAGCCAAAGGACAAAGCCAATGTCCCTCTAATTGGTTTATATATCAATATTACAGTGGCCTTGTGACCCAGTGCATGAATAAGCAGCTCTTGTGTGAAATACTGCAGTATTCTGTGTGTACTTGCTACTTTGCACTGAGAAGGAAAAGTTGCTTAAGGCATGATCAGGTGTGTTTGTTTCTGTTCAGAATGTTTCCCACAGATTTTGTTGAACATTTGGTAGCACAGTAAAACCACACTTTTAATAGGCGTTCATGAACAAAGTCTTAAATCATAATGAATAGTTAAAAGAATGATTCAGGAGTAACTATTTAATTAACATTTTTAACTTCTAACCTCTTAGTTAAGTAGTTACTAGAATTAAGTCTTTGCTTTAAGGATTATCATAAAGTGGTACTAAATAGCTGATATATATATTTTAATCCGTATAATTTCTTTTATT